CCATGTATGGGCAACAGCCGCGGGGTGGGCAGCGCACCTATTGGCCCCGCCTCTAGCTCAGGGCCATCCTCCCGGGAGCGTCCTTTGCCCGCCCTTCGCCGGGGAGCAGCGGGCGCTCCTTAGGGCGGGGGGGAATCCACGTGCTCCCCTGACTCTAGCTCCTGAGCGAGGTTTCCGGCAGTCTGCAGACCGCCGGGCCTCCTGGGTGGGGCCTGGCCGGGGGGGCGGAGCTGACTGTTGCACAGCAACGGAGGGCGGAGCGCAGCGCGCGCAGCCGCAGTCTCGCTGGAACCCGTGCCGTCCACCCCTTAAGAGGCTCGAGCTGTCGCGTCTGCCTCGCGCTCGTTCTCCGGGTCCTGCTGTTGTGTGGAGGACGCTTCCCAGACTTTGCCGCCAGGTTCCTCGTTTCGAAGTCCGCCGCGGCGAATATGGTGAGTGACCCGCAGCTCGGGCGTCCGCCAAGGGAGGGACTGCGTCCCGCGGCTCCAAGGCAGTTCCCGGGCCGCCGCCCGGGATCGTCTTCGGCCCAGCCTTGCTGCCTTCGATACGGAGGTCTGCATGTTCCCGGTGTGGGCCGCGGAAGCCGAGGACCGTCCGTGTGGGCGCGGTTTCCCCCAAGGCCAGCTCAGTGACCCGTGGGTCTTTCCAACCTTTTCCACCGAGAAGGAAAAGAAGGATTTTATTGAACACCCTAGAGGGCGGGGTGGTTGCTCGCTAGCGTGATTAAGAACAGGGTGGCCTTGCCGTGGCTTTGTTTGTCGTATCTGGCAATCAGCTTCAGTGGCACTCTCGTTGGGCTTGTCAAGCTTGGCAGTGTCTCTTTTAACCCTTCCCTGCCGGGTTGTCCATCCATAGCTAGAAATTTGCCTTCCCCTGAGAACATGGCTTTACCCCAACTTTGGGTGCGAGGGGTGAACATGATGTTGCTTTCCTGGTGCGAATATAAAAGCTTTCAGGAGGTCCGTTTAATAACTCCAGCCCGTTAACAAGAGAAACATTCTTTGTGTTGAGATGGTGAAGATTTTGAGTAATTTAAAAACTTCTCTGCCTCTAAACTGTTGCTCAAATCTGCTGTACAACAGTATTCCAACTGGGCGATCAGGTAGAACATTTTGTCAGTGTAGTCGGCATACACTGTTACCATTTTTGGTCAATGATTTGCTGGCAAGGCCTTGCCACACTGCTAGAAATACTATCCTTTTGCTGCATCTGTTCTCTTGGAAGCAGTTGGTACCCACTTATCTGTCTACACTGTTTTCACTAAATAACAACTTTGATTTTTCCTAGGATATAGCAACTGGCTTGCAGGTGCCGATAACTCACTGGATTAAATGGATAGTTTTCTTGATAACTGACCCTGCTTAATAGTGTCTTGATACTAAATCCTGTTCTTTGGGTTTAATGCTATATCAGCTACAAATAGATCAGACCCTGAAGTCTTTTGAACCTCTTCAATATTTGAAATGTATCTGTATATACTGGTTTATTAAAGACTTAATCTTAGGGCTTTGAGTTCTGATCAGTTTGAGCACTCAGTGTAACAAAGTCTGCCGATGTAACAACGCCTTTTCTTTTAGTTGAGAACACAAACTTTATATTTAAAACAGGGCTAAACATTTTAAATGTGTAAATGCTTGGTTTTAAAGCTTAACATTTCCTGTGTACGTTCAAACAAAATGAAAGAAGAATCTGGTACATGGGAGAGAGAGAGAAACCAAAGGTGGGATTATTCTTAACATCCAAGTACTAATGTATTTGTTATGGTCTGAGAACGTGGGTGCAGGAATGCCACTGCCTGCACATAGTGAGTCCCTCCTCCTTTCACTGTGAACTCTGGGTACTGAACTAAGGTAAGGTTGTCAGACTCGCCTGGCAAGTGCCTTCACCTGCTGAGCCTTTTCACCAGTTCTGGGTGTGTTTTCAGCATGAAGATTTCAGAACACAGACTCTTACTATGCTTGTTTTTATAAGTATGGAGCATCTCCATTCAGTCCAGCTGTTAAAGAGTGTTAAAGAGAGAGAGTTTCTCCTTTATTATCCCAGATTCTAGCACTCTCTATACTTGAAATCTTTTAGAATTGTTGGTGAGCTGCTTGGTGTTCTTTTCTGAGGCAGAATCTCGCTCTGTAATCCAGAACGACACAGAACTCACTGAAACACAGGCTGGACTTGAACTTAAGGCAAGCCTGCCTAAGCCTCCAGGTGCTAGACTTAACAGGTGTTAGGGTGGCCTAGCATTCTGTTCTCTTGGGCCCCGGAGTGCTAGGATTATAGGTGTCAGCTAATATGCTTAGCTTTTCCCTCTTTCCTTTGGTTTTTCGAGACAGGGTTTCTCTGTGTAACAATCCTGGCTGTTCTGAAACTAGCTGTGTAGAACAGACTGGCCTTGAACTCAAAAGAGATTCTCCTGCCTCTGCCTCCCCAGTGCTGGGACTAAAGGCGTGTGCCATCATTGCCTGCCTCCCCCATTTCCTTTCTTTGGGATGGTAGTGGGGAGACCAAATTTTAACTGCTTAATTTAGAAGAATTCCTTCCTGGTACTCACTAAGTCTTTTAGAAGTGGTTGGAATAAAACAAGTTGAAATTAGAAAAATGAGGTGTCATGTTTTCAAATGTCTCACTACAAAATACACCATAACTGTCTCTATAAAATCCCCTCCCACTGGGGGAAAATGTCTCCTCTGTTTGCACATGCCAAATAAAATTTCTGTGTGTGTACTGGGTGTGTCAGCTTCCTCATATGTGCAAAGATTATTTGCCAGCTCACCATTAAATTCCTGACTTTATTTGCTCAGTTCTATTGGGTACAGCTTGACACATCACATGTAGATTTGGCTAGCCTTTTCTTTTACCAAGGAATGCATTTGCAGCATAGTTTTGTGGCTCTCTGGAAAGTAGGGTGTAGTCTTGCCTTGAAATACAGTCAAAGAATATGTGATAATGTAACTCTTATCTTTACAAAGACAGAATTTTCTCCAACAAACTGAGCTAATTGGCTTGGACTGAATTACCAGTTTATTCTGCACTTGGTACTTAGGAAAAACATTTATAATGATTCAGCCCCCTTTTCTTGGTTTTTCAGAACAGGATTTTTCTGTGTGGTGCTGGCTGGCCTGGAACTCACTCTGTAGACCAGGTTATCCTCAAACTTAGATTGATCTGCCTCTGCTTCTCCAGTACTGGAGTTAAAGGCATGCACCACCACACTTGATTGTTTGTATGCCCATTTAACATGAAAACAATCTGTAAGGGATCAGTTACCTCCTACAAATCACTTTTTCTTATTTTATACCCATTTTTAAAAATGATTAATTTTGAAGCATTTTAAGCAGTGCAGAATAAAGATCCCTTTTATCAAAAGAAAAATCATGATGGGGTCATATTTTAGGTATTTATCACTACAGCTGAATGTACATCTTCCTAGTTGTTCTCTTCCTCCTTAGTGGGTACCAATCCTGTGTCAGATCTTAAGGTACTGGCCCATTAGGAAGTGATTTCATTCAGGATGTTGTAAATGCAAAGAACGTTCATGATGGAAAAACTTCTCCAAGAGAAGGAATGTGAACCTGGGCAGGTACCCAGGGAGTCTTGAGGAAGGATATGAACAGATCTTGTTAAAGAATATATAATAGGCCTTTTCTTTCTTTTTTTCTTTTTTAATAATTGAGATGGTCTCACTGTAGCCCAGGCTGGCCTTGAACTTATAAAGATAGGCTTGCCTCTGCCTCCTGAGTGTTGGGACTAAAAGATGTGTCTTAAGTGCAAGGTTCAGGTCCATTTCATCACAGTTACTGGAAGTTGATAGATTTCATTCTTTGACATTTTTATTCCTTTGGATGCTTTTACCTACATGTCTGTGTCATGTGGGTGCAGTACCCATGGAAATCAGAAGAGGGAGTAAGATCCTTTGGAACTGGAGTTAACAAATGGATGTGAGTTGCCATATGGGAATTGACCCTAGGTTTTCTGCAAGAGTAATCGGTTCTCTTAATTGTTGAACCATCTCTTCAGCTCCTTCTTTTAAGTATACATCTATACATTCTTAATTTATGTTCCATCAATGTGTTAAATTTTATATACATACTATGTTGTGCCTTGCCTAGCCCCTTTCAACCTTTTTTTTTGTGTGTGTGTTCTTTTGGGGATGGTGTTGGTTTTTATTACATTTACTTAATTTATTGAGTTGCTTATACATGTTTGCGTAGGTCTACATGTAGAAGTTAGAGAGCAGCGTGCTGGAGTTGACCCCCTACCATGTAGGTCCTGGGCATGCGCTCAGGTCATCAGGCTTATGGGCAAATACCTTTCCTCTGAGCCATCTCACCAGCCCAGGGTGTTGGATTGAACTACTGGATATTATTCCACTATAAAACTGTATAAGTTTTATTCATCCCTCTATTAGTAGGCATTTGGACATTTCTCCAGTTGACTTATCTATTTAAACTTTTTACAATAGTTGGTTTCCATATAAAATTATTATATATTACTTGTCTAGTTCCTGTGTGTCCTCTTGGTATAAATACAGAGACCTTTAGGTGGAGAACATGCATATGTATTTTCTC